GCATGAGCCGCCATGCCCAGCCTCCATTCTTACTTTCACTCATCCCTCCTCTCTCTGCTCTACACATACTGGATTTTCAATGCCTGAAACACATCTTGGGCTTACATAACAGGGCCTTGCACAAGCTCTTCCCTCTTTACTTAAGTTCCACTCATGTTTGCTGTCTTACTTAAGCATGATTTCTGTAGGGAAACCTTCCCTGACAAGTCCTTATTCTGCCAAATTTTTATCTGTAGACTCCCATGGCTTGATGCCTTATTCTTAGAATTTGCCATAATTGACATATTCTATTTAGTGTGTATGATTATTTGATTAACGTCTGTCTCCCTCACTAAGGTATAAGCTTCATGAGGGCAGAGGCTTGTCTTGTTGTACCCACCATTTAATAACAGAGGCTGGGCCAGGTGTGGTGGCTCACACCTGTAATCCCAGCACTTTGGGGGAGTGAGGCAGGAGGATTGCTTGAGGTCAGGAGTTCAAGACCAGCGTGGCCAACATAACAAAACCCCATCTCTACTAAAAATACAAAAATTAGCTGGGCATGGTGGTGCCCGCCTGTAATCCCAGCTACTCAGGAGACTGAGGCACATTTTCTTCCTTCACTTTTTTCTCTTACTACTCTTCTCTCTTCCTTCTTTGCTTCATTTACTATCTTTGTTCTCTCTTTTTATCACTTTATTTTATCTAATAAATATTTATTGGAGAAATGAATGAAATGCTAGTTTTCCTGAGGGTTTTCTGGGTTTTGACTTTTTTTCTTTTTTTATTTGTCTCCTTTTCCTTGATAATCTTATCCAACACCATGGCTTCACCATCATCCATATACTGGTGTCCATAATGCCCCATGATGTCCAGACCTGTATTTTCAACTGATAATCTTCATGGAATTGTCCTCTAGTAACTTAAACTCAACCCAACTCAAACCAAAGTGGTTATCTTCCTTAAATATTTTTTTTCTGCTTAATCCTACCCTTTGTAAAGTTTGCCACTACCCATTTCAAATGGCTTAAACCCAAAACCTAGGTCATTTTTCTTCCTTTTCCACAAATACCAAATTCTGTTGATGCAAATGAAATGTCCCTTTCCAAAATCCCCACTTATATCCCCCAAGTACTATTGCCTAGTTTTGTTCTTCTCTAACTTTTCCAGAAGGAAAACTCTTTTATATAAGAAGATATGTAAAAATTATTACATGATGTGGACGGAAAGGAGCTGCTCTAGTTGAAGGTGGGAGAAGGGATCTGAGAGCAATCCCTTGCCCAATGAGGTGGTACCAGAAGTTGCTATAGTTTGAAAGCCACTAGCCTATGGTACTGCAACACCCTTTAAAAAACTGCTTTTACATTTTTTTTCACATGTAAAACACAGAAATAATAGAGATTTATGAAACATCTACTATGGGCTAGGCATTATAGCAGGTTCTGTGAATATAATGGCGACTGAGATCAATATAGCCCCTGCTCTCAGGGAGGTTATATCTAACAGGGATGGCAGAGAGAAAAAAAGCAACTATAACCAAGTGAAGTAAGTGCTATGATGGGGTCAGCAAGGAGCTGCGGGCTATGTAGGAGAAGACCTAATATAGTGCAGGGACAGGTTGTAGGTGGACCAAGGGTGGCTTCCTACAGGAAGAGACTGTTAGGCTAGGACCTAAAAGATGAGTTGGAGTTCAGCAGGTGAAGAGAAGAGAAGACTGTTCCAGGCAGAGGAAACAGCACTGTTGCTTGTTCCATTGCAGCTAGCTCAGCTACTGCAGGGGAGGAGCGGGAGCGTAGAGTGAATATTCATGTCAGGGCTCATCTTTAGCTTAAAAAGAACCAGGGAACTCTGGAGAGTCTAGTTCAGAGTATAATGCTTTCTCCATCCCTGCCTTGCCCCGTCCCGCCTCACTTCTTCTTTCGGCTTTGGTACTCGTTGGGATTAGTTCCTCATTGCCAAGCTTGGAGCCAATAATTTGATCTGAAGCAGATGACTTACAGCAAACCACCGGGAGCCTCCCCGCTCCCCATCTCCATGTGACAACCCCAAATAATTCAGAGCTGTGCAAACCTTGAAACCACCTAAGCCCCACCCAGAGACCTCATAACTCTTAAAAAATTCTTCCTCAGACAGAGGAATTTCGTAGGTTTGTTTGATCTTTTTATGTTGCTGTTTTCAGGATATAACTTTTCTCTTTTCCTCTCAAGCCCGGGCTCTAGGCAGTTATCCAAGAGAGGAGAGGTCTGGAGACTTCAGCCTGTCTCAGGACACACATCAAGGCAGAGATGAAAATATAGGTGAATAGTCTGGGATATCTTTATGAACACTTTTCAGATGACTTGGCTGAAATCTTTCTCTTACATCAGAACTCAATGGTTTTAACAATGCAGTTTGATAAAAAACATTTTCTTTAGCAGTCGTGTTACAGTAATTAAGATGTAACCTTGGGAACTCTGTACATGATTTAATTCCTCTTTGAACCAATTTTTCCTAGTTTTATAGACATATCTTGGGTTTCTTTCCAGGTGCAAGAAGAGTTTTAAGAATAATTGTCATATGGATTTTCTGCTTAGCAGAATTCTCTATATTTTGAGTATCTTTACCCAAAGGTTAGTATTACATAGTGACATGAAAATTAAAATGGAAATAATAGTGCAATAGGCCTGCATGTTCTTATCTGAAACTTTTGTGGCCAGATATATTTAATAATTCAAAATATCTGAGATATTAGAAAGATAATATGGTGCCTATATTACACAATATTATAGGTGGGGTCTGGAGTGTGATCAAGCATAACGTGTCTGATATGGAATATCTGAATATCCACACTGCATAGCATAGCCTCATGTTAGTTCACCAAATGAACTTTGGTGCCACACTTAACAAAAATACCTTAGTTTCCAGAGCATTTTGGATTTTGGAATTGCTGAGAAGTAATTGAACACCTGTCCTTGTCTTGCTTTGCTGAAAGAGTTGCTGTATCAAGGGTGTCTAATCAGAAAAATGTTATTTCATCGTAAAATGTTATGTTATAGCATAGCCTAACAGCATTGGAGAATCTTTGTCCCTATTTATTTATTTATTTTTATTTTTTTGGCATATGTCTGTTTGCAAAATCTTTTTTGGTTATAAATAAAGTAATTCCTGTGTTGGAAGTTCAAAATACTATTCTCTGATTTGAGTCATTAGCTTACTGTCAGTCCATGAGCTGCTGTTTGCCAAGCTGATTGGCTTTCCAATATATATTTCTTTTACTATAGATTGCAGGGGTGTCTCTTTCGGATGATCTATTGGACATAGTCCTTTATGCCTCCATTACTTGTTTTGAGAAACTTTTCCTAAGTTAGTTGTTCAGTTGACTGTGTTGGTCCGGTGGGCATCTCAGATTTATTTGTCTAGAAACCATGCTACCTGGGGACATAGAAAGAGTAAAGTACTTAGAACACCCAGAATTCCTGGATTTGCGTTTCATTTCTGCTTCTTTCTAGCTATGGTGGTGATGGCTTAAAAGTCATTGAATTTGTCTGAGCCTTAATTTCTCAACTTCAAAATGGGGATTAATAATAACAGCTTGGGCGGGTGGCTAGCTGTATCCAGCATTGGGGGGGGGGGGACAAGTAGGAGAGAACAGTGAAGTTAAAAATAAAAATAGGGGGGGGGGGGGGGGGGGGGGGGGGGGGGAAGGGGGGGGGGGGGAGGCATGACTCAGCCTGGCAAAGTGAGATGTCAAAAAAAAAAAAAAAAAAAAAAAAAAATAATAATAATAACAGCTTTTGCTACTTCTCAGGCATAATGTGAAGTAAAATGAGAAGAGGTTGGTGCAAACAAGAAGATACAGTGCAATTCACATTCAACGAAAGGGAATGGTCTAAATGCAATGTCTATATGCACTTGAGGTGTTTTTATTGATAAATGTTGGGTTACATGGCTTTATTCCTGCTCGTATCTGGATAGGGACCATTTATTGAGTGGCTGCTGTATCAGGAACCACAGGAGGCATCCTTGATTAATCCCAGTACCACCCCTTTGAGGTGGCTGCCATCATTCTCTATTTGAGAGAGGACAGAGATCTGACCAAGGTCACATCACTACTTAGTGCCTGAGCCAGATTGAAAACCAGATTTGTTTGATGGTAAAGTCAGCAGTCCCTTTTAATTGCAAAGACTCTTGTGCAATGGTGAATGTTTTGTGGTTTTTTTTTTTTTTTTTTTTTTTTTTTTTTTTTTGAGACGGAGTCTCACGCTGATGCCCAGGCTGGAGTGCAGTGGCGCGATCTCGGCTCACTGCAAGCTCCGCCTCCCGGGTTCCCGCCATTCTCCTGCCTCAGCCTCCTGAGTAGCTGGGACTACAGGCGCCCGCCACCGCGCCCGGCTAATTTTTTGTATTTTTAGTAGAGACGGGGTTTCACTGTGGTCTCGATCTCCTGACCTTGTGATCCGCCCGCCTCGGCCTCCCAAAGTGCTGGGATTACAGGCTTGAGCCACCGCGCCCGGCCGTTTTGTGGTATTTTTTGTGTGTGTTCTGAAAATTGAGAACAAGATGGGATTCATAAAAAAATTAGATAGTTCACTTTTCTTATATGTAAATTCCAGACAGGATCAATAAATCACACACTTTGGATGCTCAGGGGAAATTAGTATTATTTAATGCTTTGGAAAATCGTTATGTATCCCCCTTTGTGGTAGAATTTATTCTCAACGTGGTTATAAATAAACAAAATGTTTTACTAGCTTAAAAAAATTACCAATCCATTCTTCCTTCACAAGGCATGGAGATGGTAGAACTATGGCATTTTTCTTTACTGTCCTCTTGGCCTAATTGTTTGTTAGCCCTGAATGAGTTGTTGAACGGAGAAACCCAGGCGAGCTTCCGGTAGCATTCTCCTTTCTAGTATTTGGTTCAGTCCACGGTACTCTTTTAGCCATCAGTGACTGCTTTTACTGAGACTGTGGCTGTCCTTGCCCAGAGTTGAGGGAGGGATAGGTTGGGGATGGGAGACTCACTAGTAAGCACTGTGGAGTCTATTTGAGTCCCTGGCAGCATCTGTCCGATATAATCTGACTCTCTATCCCCACCCAAATCTCATCTCAAATTATAATACCCGTGTGTCAAGGGAGGGATCTGTAATCCCCATGTATCAGGGGAGGGAGGTGATTGGATGAAGGGGACAGTTAACCCCATGGTGTTCTCGTGATAGTGAGTGAGTTCTCACGAGATCTGATGGTTTCGTAAGGCAGTTTTCCCTGCTCTTGTTTACTATCTCTCACCTGCAGCATGTAAGATGTGCCTGCTCCCCCTTCCGCCATAATTGCAAGTTTCCGAAGGCCTCCTCAGCCATGTGGAACTGTGAGTCAATTAAATCTCTCTTCTTTATAAATTACCCAGTCTCGGATATGTCTTTACAGCAGTGTGAAAATAAATGAGTACTCTGTCTGTCTGTCAGTCTCTCTCTGTTATTTAAGATCAGAACAGGACTTGCTATATGACAGAAACACAGCCGAAGGGGTGTTGGAAGGTCCGGAGCTTATGAAGACGTTCCCTGGCCTCTCATTTTGTTAATGGGGGCTTCATTCCAGAGAATAAGAGCTTCTTTATGGGTCCAGACACTTCTGGCTGCAATTAGCTGATTGTTAATTTATGTCTGAGTTTTGGAGGCTTTAGTTAGATAAAATATCTAAAAGGATTTAGTCTCAGTGAAAAGAACTTTAAGTGAGAATGGCTTTGAGGAAAAGAGAAAAGTTAGATTCCAGCTTTCCTTCTGGGTGCTGACTATGGGGAGTGGGGAAGTAGGTTGTGAGATAATAAGAGCTTTATTGTCAACTGTTGCATTCTTTTAGAGGCCCCCACGACTTTAAATTTCCTTAATATCTTTCTCCCTTTATAGTTAATTAAAAGAAATTATCGAGCACCTTATATGTGTCCAGGCATTCTATGCCCTGGATCAAACAATAGTGAGCAACACATCCATAATCCTTGCTCTCATGGAACTCACAGTCTAGTGGGGAACTACACAAAAACATTGTAAAATTGTAACCAATGTTTATGGTTTATGGTGTTATGAGCATTGAGGTTGTTAGGGAAGACTGTTTTTGTGTGATGGCTTCATCAGTGTTGAGGTTGCTATATCCCATTTTTTTGTGGCTATCAGCTTTAGATACTTTTATGAGGTCTTAAAAGGAATAGTTTAGTAATTAATCATGTAGATTGTAGATGGGTTGCTGGATTGCATTGATTTTTAAACAGATATATGTACACACATACATAGAAGCACACATACATATAGGTATATTTATATCTGTGTATATGTTACATGTGTATGTATATGTATACATATATATGGGTGTGTGATTAAGCAATGTAAAGAGATTGTAGAGAATTTGGAATATCATAAAACTACAAAAAAATTAAATGTACCCAGAAATAATTAATGTTAATGTCTATCTACCCACCTATCTCTAAACTTTTTTTCTAGACATACATAGATTTAAAAATATAATTTAGATCATATTGCAAAGATGACTTTGCATTTTGTTTTAAAAATTTTCATTGAATCACAACCATTTCTCTTGTCATAAAATAATCTTTAAAGGAAATTTTTTTACTTCATTATACTCTATATAATTTATGTAATTATTCTTTTATTGAACACTAATAACGTGTCCCATTTGCTACAATAAATAATGCTGTGAAGTACAAGTTTCTATAGTTTATGACTTTCCTAGGCTAGATTTTGAGAAGAAAAATAACAGGGTCAAAGTGAATGAAATTTTAAGGCTTGTGATATGTATTGCAAAATTGCTTCCCAGATAGGTAATATAAATCTAGCTCCCATTAGCAAAGTATGAGAATGATTATCTTATTGGTTACCCTGTCATTGCTGAATGTGATGATTATTAATCAGATGGTTGAAAAATATTATCTTCTTTTTATTTCTATTCTGGTCTTTTAATGGAATTAAATTCTTTTTTTTTTTTTTTTTTTCCGAGACAGTGTCTCTCTCTGTCACCAGGCTGGAGTGCAGTGGTGCAGTCTCAGCTCACTGCAGGCTCCGCCTCCTGGATTCAAGCGATTCCCCTATCTCAGCCTTCTGAGTAGCTGATTAAATTCTTTTTTATACAGTTATTAGTACTTCTTTTATGAATCTCAGTTTATGTTATTTGCTCATTTCTTTATTGTGGTTTTTAGTACTTGCTTCATAAAAACTTTTTATTTATTAGGGATGCCAATCATTTGTCATATGCAAAGTTTTCCAAGTTATTTAACAGAAGTTTCTAATTTATATGTAGTTAGATCTACTTGTCTTTTCTTTTTGATTTCTAGCTTTTATATGCTCAGAAAGTCCCTATCCTATTAATCAGATATTTTGTCTGTATGTTTGAAAGCTAGATGAATTTTTAATATAGTGCCCATAAGATACTTCAGTAACCTGGTGCAGTGCCTAATATGGCAGTTGGGGACATGATGTGTGGTCACTAGAAGTTTGCCTAATAGTTAGATCTCAATAATTATTGGTCACTGGGGATGAATATTTGTTAAGCCATGTTTTGAAAGAGGAATAAATACTACCCAGTCAAACAAAAGGGAGAAGAATCTTCCAAATAAGGGACCCGTCACATGAAAGGGTACAGAGGGAAGAAACCAAAACCATGACATGTAAGGAATGCCTGCAGCAGGAGCTCAGCATACATGGTGGGGCAGGCATTAGTTAGGCGTGATCAGATCATACAATTTTCAGGCCATGCTGAGAAACTCTGCGTCATAAAAGATGAGAAATCATTACAGGGGTTTAAGTAGGAAAGTGATATGGGCCACACTGACATTGGGAAATTTAGGTAAATTATTTCAGTTTACTAAAAATAGTGAAGAAGAGGGTTGGAGTAGATGAGATTTGAGTCCTGGCAATCCATTAGGAAAAAAAGCAAGTTACACTTAGAAGCAATATTTAAGAAGTGTGGGCTAGACATGGTGGTTTACGTCTGTAATCCCAGCACTTTGGGAGGCCAAGGCGGGAAGATGGCTTGACACCAGGAGTTTGAGACCAGCCTGGGCACCATAGCGAGACCCCTTCTCTACAAAAAGTACAAAAAATTAGTCAGGCGCCTATAGTTCCAGCTACTTGGAAGCTTGATGCAAGAGGATCACTTGAACCTAAGAGGTCAAGGCAGCTGTGAGCTGTGATCATACCACTATATTCCAGTCTGGGTGACAGAGTGAGACCCTGTCTCAAAAAAAAAAAGGAAGGTAGTATCATTTGGGCTAGAGAGGAATGCACTCAGGAGATATTTAGATGGTAGAATTTTTCCACTTCCCCTTGATCCTCAAAGGAGGGCCAAGTGTGGTGGCTCGTGCCTATAATCCCAGCACTTTGGGAGGCCGAGGTGGGTGGATCACCTGAGGTCAGGAGATTGAGACCAGCCTAGCCAACATGGTGAAACCCCGTCTCTACCAAAAATACAAAAATTAGCCAGGTGTAGTGGAGGGGCCGCCTGTAATCCTGGCTACTCAGGAGGCTGAGGCAGCAGAATCTTTTGAACCTGGGAGGCGGAGGTTGCAATGAGCCGAAATCATGCCATTGCACACCAGCCTGGGTGACAGAGTAACGCTCTGTCTCAAAACGAAACGAAACAAAACAAAACAAAAAACAAAGGACACAGCATAGCATAGAGGAAAAAAGCTCTGGATTGGAAATCTGAAGCCTGGCTCCACCACCAGCACCATGATCTTTACTAGTTACCTCCCCTCTGAGGGCCTCTACTTCCTTATTTGTGTAAGGACTTTCTGGACTAGACGATCTTTCAAGTGTCTGGCAGTTTTAACACTTCTGTATTCTTGTAGTTTTAGGCACCAGCTTAGTGTTTCGAAACTGTAAAATAGTCTGAGAAATCTTGTGAAAATAGGAACTTGCACTTTTCTAGGATTTTTGTTTCCTGTTTTTATAAAATTTGAGCTAGTGAGGACTAGATATCGGGATGAGCCCCTGCCTGCCTCTTGGCCAGCTTTGTAGAGGGGTTTCTGATGCCCAGAGGAGGCAGTTTGAGTAACAGCAGCCGACAGCAAGCACGGAGCTTGCACGCAGCTCTCTCGCCTTCCAAACGTGGCTCTGTGGCACCATCCTTGTGGTCTCCTGTCTTATGACCATGAGCAGACACGCTTGAATATGACGGCCGTGTAGATAACTAACTATAGCTGTTGGAAACTCAAATCCGTGGTTCAAATCCATTGGCAATTTTGGTAAAATCTAGGGTTTGGTTCATTCAGTCTAACAATGCTCACCTGACTGTATGGCCCGTAATTTACCAAAAACAGTATAGCTTGTTGCCATTTTCATCTTCAGTGGAGGCAGAAAAATGGAAGGATATAGAAAGAGAAATGTCTCGCCTTTCAGAAGTTCCTTGCTCTTTGGTATTTAGTTTGTTATTTTCTGTCATTTTTGTCTTGAGGCATTAGAGTTGGATTTCCATTCTGCTGTCTGCCTTGCAATGTTATCTAAGGAATCTATAAGCAGCTTAACCCTGTCAAGGGAAGATTGTACTAAAACGGCCTATTCAAGAAGCCCTGGAATTCCACACTTCAAGCCATTAGCTGTGTCTTGCTTACATGAAGCTTATCACACCACCCTCAGAAAATTTCCATCTTATCATGGGTGGCATTGTAAATAATGGAAAAAACTGTCTGAAACTGTTTGAATGTTTTCTTAGATTATTTGGAAATTTCCAGCTTTGTGCACTAGACAGAAGACCTTTGACTTCTAAGGTCATGACAGCATAAAGGTGAGGTATGCCTTCTCCTACTTAGCCAGGGAGGGCCCATAATGAGTGTGCAGACATTTTCTATTATTTTATTATTATTTTTGTCATGAAATCTCTGAGTTTAGTCACTGAGCCTATGTGAAACAAATTCGCTTTAGGGAAAAAAGCTTAGCAAGAAGAACTCATTCCTCAAGTGTAACACTTCTTTTTCTTTTTTTGAGATGGAGTTTCGCTCTTGTCCAGGTTGGAGGGCTAGAGTGCAAATGGTATGACTTCGGCTCCCAGGTTCAAGCAATTCTCCTTCTTTAGCCTCTGGAGTAGCTGGGATTATAGGTACCCACTACCATGCCAAGCTTTTTTTTTTTTTTTTGTATTTTTAGCAGAGATGGGGTTTCACCATGTTGGCTAGGCTGGTCTCGAACTCCCGACCTCAAGTGATCCGCCTGCCTTGGCTTCCCAAAGTGCTGGGATTACAGGTGTGAGCCATCATGCCCAGCAAGTGTAACACTTTTAAAAGTCTTTTATTTATCTGCCTATAATCTTAAGAGTGCGTTTTTAATTAAATTTTGTCATTGGAAATTTATTATTACTTTAGGAAGCAATTTTGCCCGGGGTGCTTAGGTTAATATGTAATTATATACTTAAAATTCTTCTAGGTTCATTTAAAGATAAAGTAATATATCAGTTATTACAAGATGCCAAAGGCTAAAATATGCAATTTTCTCAGTCCAACTCACTTTTTGTTTCCAAAGCCCTTTGCATGCATTAACAATCTTTACACATTATGAAGTCACTATCACCATTTAGCCCACCTTTGTATCATGGGCTAAAATGGATGCAAAGGGTTGCTTAACTGAAAGCCATGTACTTTATCCCACCTAAATTTTGTTTATTCTGTTATTCAACCTGAAATAACCTTTTCCTTCAGTTTCTGCCTGTGAAAATTGTATTTGTCTCTTAAGATTCAGATCAAATGTTACCTTTCCTTACCTCCTAGGGTAAATTTCTAAAGAAAAGGATCTGTGAACATTTAGGAAAGCAAGCGGTGGTCACCAGGAATTGTGTGGATTGCTGATAAAGAAGTCATTCTGCACTAACTTCATCTCTTCTTTGGCATTATGGCTTATCTGATAAATAAAGCAATGCAATAGACATATCTTTGGATTTCAGTAAGTCTTTGATAGGGTCTCTCTTGATAGGCTTTTGTTCTATCAATAGTACAATTAGGGGGATTAGTAACTGGTTAAATGGTTAAAGCCACAGATGACTGAATAATGACTTTTGGCCTATGAAATGTTTCCAGTGAAATGCTGCCATGCATTTGTCCTTGGCCTTGTCTTAGAGAAAAAAGTTATTAATGATGAATCAGTCAGAATAGATTTAGATCATGTTGTGGTATTGAAGACCCCCCACCCCATCCCCACTGCCAATTTAGTGGTTTAAAACAATAAAGATTGATTTCTCTCACCCTACTTATCCTGAGATGATGGGGGCTGGGTGGGTGGGGTGTTCACTTTGGGTTATAATTGCACTAATTATTTGGAACATCGTTGGCTGCCAAGGCCATGTGAAAAGAGATGGTGGGAAAGCCCATATGGATGCACAACCACACACACCTCAAGTGAATGGGTGTGCAAGGCGGCAGTGTGCCTGCAAGGAGGGAACCGCCATGTTTATGAAAGGCCCTAATGACCACCACACCCACTGGGATGGAAACAAGGTGTTCGTGGACGACACAAAATTAAGTGTATAGTGAATAGGATTTTTCCTCAGATGACCTGATAGGAGGTTCTGAACTTTTTCAGTAATTATTTATATGACTCTGGGTAGATCACTTAACTTTACTTAGTCTTGGTTTCCTTACCTATAAAATAAGACCATCAATGATATTAACGTGTCTGGGTGATGGTGAGGTGCTGCCTGGCTGGTACTGGTGTCTCTGAGCTTGAAGTCAGGTTTCTCTATTGGTGCTTTATTCTTAGATATATAAAAGATATTAATTGTAAAATTTTTATTATGAATGGTACTGTTATCAATTTTTAAAAATTGGCTTTTTAAAGTGTAATGTCATTTGTTTTGAATTGTACGTTACACTTGTCTGATATATTTTTGCCAAACTTAAAAAACAATATGTCAAATCTCTTATAGATAGCTCATTATTATTTATTCAGTCCGAAAGCCTTTTTTTTTTTTTTTTTTTTTTTTTTTTTAGTACAGACATTTGATTCATTTATATGTATTCCCAGCACTTTAAATAAATTTTTCTTTCAGGCATCTTATACTTTCTGTGTCTGTATTTCCCTTTTATTCTAATTTGTACTGTATATACTATTTGCTTTGTACTTGCCTCTCTGTAAAGATCCTGATTTTCAGTCTGCAAATATATACCTTAAATAAATAAAACCCTAACTCACAAAGCTCATCTTTTTTGAAATATCAAAATCAAGAATAAAAATAAGCATTTATGACTCCAAATTTTGAACACTGAGCTATGTGGGACTTTAAAAGTTTAATGTGTGATTATAAATGCCACATTTAAATTTTTAAAGTAGTCAATACGTATCTCTTTATAAAATATTTTTCTTTTTTTCTGTTAAGATTTGCAGTGATTATTCAAACCTATTAAGTTGTGTAAAAGTAATTGCATTTTTTGCCATTACTTTTTTTTTTTTTTTTTTCAAATGGAAAAAAGTTTATTGAATTAGGATATAAAGAAAGAAGGTATTTCTTTTTTTTTTTAAATTTATTTATTATTATTATACTTTAAGTTGTAGGGTACATGTGCATAACGTGCAGGTTTGTTACATATGTATACTTGTGCCATGTTGGTGTGCTGCACCCATCAACTTGTCATTTACATCAGGTATAACTCCCAATGCAATCCCTCCCCCCTCCCCCCTCCCCATGACAGGCCCCTGTGTGTGATGTTCCCCTTCCTGAGTCCAAGTGATCTCATTGTTCAGTTCCCACCTATGAGTGAGAACATGCGGTGTTTGGTTTTCTGTTCTTGTGATAGATTGCTAAGAATGATGGTTTCCAGCTGCATCCATGTCCCTACAAAGGACACAAACTCATCCTTTTTGATGGCTGCATAGTATTCCATGGTGTATATGTGCCACATTTTCTTAATCCAATCTGTCACTGATGGACATTTGGGTTGATTCCAAGTCTTTGCTATTGTGAATAGTGCTGCAATAAACATACGAGTGCATGTGTCTTTATAGCAGCATAATTTATAATCCTTTGGGTATATACCCAGTAATGGGATGGCTGGGTCATATGGTACATCTAGTTCTAGATCCTTGAGGAATCGCCATACTGTTTTCCATAATGGCTGAACTAGTTTACAATCCCACCAACAGTGTAAAAGTGTTCCTCTCCAGCACCTGTTGTTTCCTGACTTTTTAATGATCGCCATTCTAACTGGTGTGAGATGGTATCTCATTGTGGTTTTGATTTGCATTTCTCTGATGGCCAGTGATGATGAGCATTTTTTCATGTGTCTGTTGGCTGTATGAATGTCTTCTTTTGAGAAATGTCTGTTCATATCCTTTGCCCACTTTTTGATGGGGTTGTTTGTTTTTTTCTTGTAATTTGTTTGAGTTCTTTGTAGGTTCTGGATATTAGCCCTTTGTCAGATGAGTAGATTGCAAAAATTTTCTCCCATTCTGTAGGTTGTCTGTTCACTCTGATGGTAGTTTCTTTTGCTGTGCAGAAGCTCTTTAGTTTAATGAGATCCCATTTGTCAATTTTGGCTTTTGCTGCCGTTGCTTTTGGTGTTTTAGACATGAAGTCTTTGCCCATGCCTATGTCCTGAATGGTACTACCTAGGTTTTCCTCTAGGATTTTTATGGTATTAGGTCTAACATTTAAGTCTCTAATCCATCTTGAATTAATTTTCGTATAAGGAGTAAGGAAAGGATCCAGTTTCAGCTTTCTACTTATGGCTAGCCAATTTTCCCAGCACCATTTATTAAATAGGGAATCCTTTCCCCATTTCTTGTTTCTCTCAGGTTTGTCAAAGATCAGATGGCTGTAGATGTGTGGTATTATTTCTGAGGACTCTGTTCTGTTTCATTGGTCTATATCTCTGTTTTGGTACCAGTACCATGCTGTTTTGGTTACTGTAGCCTTGTAGTATAGTTTGAAGTCAGGTAGCGTGATGCCTCCAGCTTTGTTCTTTTGACTTAGGATTGTCTTGGAGATGCGGGCTCTTTTTTGGTTCCATATGAACTTTAAAGCAGTTTTTTCCAATTCTGTGAAGAAACTCATTGGTAGCTTGATGGGGATGGCATTGAATCTATAAATTACCTTGGGCAGTATGGCCATTTTCACGATATTGATTCTTCCTATCCATGAGCATGGTATGTTCTTCCATTTGTTTGTGTCCTCTTTTATTTCACTGAGCAGTGGTTTGTAGTTCTCCTTGAAGAGGTCCTTTACATCCCTTGTAAGTTGGATTCCTAGGTATTTGATTCTCTTTGAAGCAATTGTGAATGGAAGTTCATTCCTGATTTGGCTCTCTGTTTGTCTGTTACTGGTGTATAAGAATGCTTGTGATTTTTGCACATTAATTTTGTATCCTGAGACTTTGCTGAAGTTGCTTATCAGCTTAAGGAGATTTTGGGCTGAGACAATGGGGTTTTCTAAATATACAATCATGTCATCTGCAAACAGGGACAGTTTGACTTCTTCTTTTCCTAACTGAATACCCTTGATTTCTTTCTCTTGCCTAATTGCCCTAGCCAGAACTTCCAACACTATGTTGAATAGGAGTGGTGAGAGAGGGCATCCCTGTCTTGTGCCAGTTTTCAAAGGGAATTTTTCCAGTTTTTGCCCATTCAGTATGATATTGGCTGTGGGTTTGTCATAAATAGCTCTTATTATTTTGAGGTATGTTCCATCAATACCGAATTTATTGAGCGTTTTTAGCATGAAGGGCTGTTGAATTTTGTCAAAAGCCTTTTCTGCATCTATTGAGATAATCATGTGGTTCTTGTCTTTGGTTCTGTTTATATGCTGGATTATGTTTATTGATTTGCGAATGTTGAACCAGCCTTGTATCCCAGGGATGAAGCCCACTTGATCATGGTGGATAAGCTTTTTGATGTGTTGCTGAATCCGGTTTGCCAGTATTTTATTGAGGATTTTTGCATCGATGTTCATCAGGGATATTGGTCTAAAATTCTCTTTTTTTGTTGTGTCTCTGCCGGCTTTGGTATCAGGATGATGTTGGCCTCATAAAATGAGTTAGGGAGGATTCCTCTTTTTCTATTGATTGGAATAGTTTCAGAAGGAATGGTACCCACTCCTCCTTGTACCTCTGGTAGAATTCAGCTGTGAATCCATCTGGTCCTGGACTTTTTTTGGTTGGTAGGCTATTAATTATTGCCTCAATTTCAGAGCCTGCTATTGGTCTATTCAGGGATTCAACTTCTTCCTGGTTTAGTCTTGGAAGAGTGAAAGTGTCCAGGAAATTATCCATTTCTTCTAGATTTTCCAGTTTATTTGCGTAGAGGTGTTTATAGTATTCTCTGATGGTAGTTTGTATTTCTGTGGGGTCGGTGGTGATATCCCCTTTATCATTTTTAATTGTGTCGATTTGATTCTTCTCTCTTTTCTTCTTCATTAGTCTTGCTAGTGGTCTGTCAATTTTGTTGATCTTTCAAAAAACCAACTCCTGGATTCATTGATTTTTTGGAGAGTTTTTTGTGTCTCTATCTCCTTCAGTTCTGCTCTGATCTTAGTTATTTCTAGCCTTCTGCTAGCTTTCGAATGTGTTTGCTCTTGCTTCTCTAGTTCTTTTAATTGCGATGTTAGAGTGTCAATTTTAGATCTTTCCTGCTTTCTCTTGTGGGCATTTAGTGCTATAAATTTCCCTCTACACACTGCTTTAAATGTGTCCCAGAGATTCTGGTATGTTGTATCTTTGTTCTCATTGGTTTCAAAGAACATCTTTATTTCTGCCTTCATTTCGTTATGTACCCAGTAGTCATTCAGGAGCAGGTTGTTCAGTTTCCATGTAGTTGAGCGGTTTTGATTGAGTTTCTTAGTCCTGAGTTCTAGTTTGATTGCACTGTGGTCTGAGAGACAGTTTGTTATAATTTCTGTTCTTGTACATTTGCTGAGGAGTGCTTTACTTCCAATTACGTGGTC